AATATATGTGATCTGAATTACGTGGCTGTAGGCGATTGTTAATGTGATTTATATATGTGAGAGTACGTAAACTTAAATATGACGCTGCTTTCAAAGATGAAGTGAAGTCAATAATCTAATTATAGAACTCTGTAGATTATTCATCCTAATTCATTCTTTATTGTATAATTCCTTATAGAAAAATATCATTAAAAAACAATTCGCAAATATTATGGTTGATCACCTATCTCCTAATTTATCCTATTTTACTATATCTTTTTTTCTTAAAGAATACTAATTCTCCGGAACTATCTGTGACTTTATTGGACCCATTCAATTATAAGTGTCTTTGTCACAAGTGTCAAACAATTCAATTTTCTTTCTAGTATTTTCTTACTAGTATTTGCAAGTCCAGTTACTTTAAATTAACGTATTTTTAAGGTAACTTAAGGTAACGTAATTGAACTGTTCATTTTAAATATTAAAATCCGAAGAAAAAGATTATTTAGCTTAAAATTACGTAAGATTGTGAAAAATACTTGTTATAAACAATTTTTTACAACGTAGTTGAAGAAAATGTCTGGGTTCATATAGACTTGCGAATATCAATTAGAGTTAATTTTGTTATATTGACCCAAATGATATGATCATATAGTAAATTTGTACAGACCAGCAAAATTAATTAACATAAATTAAATGAATCTTACAGACTCAGCGTCAGTAACTGTGTTTTTAGCATCAATTCTGGAAGGTTAAGAAAAATAGCTCGTTGAATCGAGTATCGGATTAAATGTCACACGAATACATGTAGACAAAAAAAATAGATTGGATGATTCAGCAAAGCTGTAGCTTGCTGTGCGAGTTCGACATCTACACTGAAAAAATTTATTAAATTTGAATACATATTTCTTTGAATAAAGTACTAAGTAAACTTAGTACTTACAGTAAATCAATATTTATTCAATAAAAAAATGATAGTTAAATTACATTAATGGTCTTTGTATCAAATGAATAAATGATTACATTTGATAAATATTTACTTATAACTATTCAAACAAATTATATATATATATATATATATCAAAATTTAGTTTTTTTTCAATATATAACTAAAAGAAATCGATAGTTTGACAAAGAACTTATGAATATCTGTGAGCAATTATCAGTATATTAATGTAGCTAATTCTTTGTTACAATGAAAATTGCTAATTTAATAAGTTTTCTTCATTACAATAGCAAAAATATGCGCCATCTTAGCTAACATGTTTTGTTAAAAATTTTAATCTATATATTGAATTAATTTTAAAGTTAAATTTTAAAGTTATTTGTATTATTAACAAAGTTGTACTATTACAATAAATATAATTATAGCTCTATAATTGCTAATTTTATTCAGCTATACAAGTTCGCTAATTTAACATAGAAAAATGGCTGTCCGCATATTACAGCTGTAGATTTGCTGAATCAGTTTTGTTGTTTTAACAAATCTTTTTTTTTCCACGTGTAAATGCGAGCAAAACGCGTGCAATCTTTCCAAAGAAACATCGGAAAAGACTGAAAGAAACGCGAATGATGTACATCGGTTCAAGCTTCGCACGCGAGACCACCATCGTCCTCACACCTCATTTTCCTTCTCCTGAGATCCTCGAGGTTCTCCATCGTTCGAAGAGTTGCGTTCCAACAGCAGCCTTCAATGCGTACACACCAAGCCCACATCGGGGTAGTGGTGGTGAGGTGCGGGGTGATCAACCGCCATCAACCACCGACTTCAAAGAGCGAGAGGTCCGCGTAACCTTACGCCACCCTGACTGCCACCACTGTCGCTTTCCTGCTCCGTCACCACCGCCACCAGGCACAAATTAAATAGCCGTGCCGTTTACTCTTACTACCCCTATATTACATGTGTGCCGCGCGCTGTTCCGTTTTTCATGCGTTATTGAATGAAATGTCTCTTTTAAAGACTTTAAAGACTTTAATTTTACTAATTTAAATCTCACGTATTGCACGTAGTTCCTTTTCTTTTCGCCAACCGATGAGGATCGCGGAAGACAGACCATATCAGCCGTTAAAAATTGAAACATTCGATGCGAATCGGAAGGAAAGGAAGCATCGATTTTCGGTCTTCATTTCATAGAGATGTAATTGTCTTTTTATCGAGGTGTAAGAAATCTATGACTCGCGCATATGATATATGCGCATCTCGTTTTGATGTGCAAATTCAGAACAAAGAGTAGTCATAGAATGATTGTTTCTAATTTTCGTTACGAATCGAAGATCAATGTTTTCCAATTCACGCGTTGCAGTCGATTTAATTCAATAGAAAAACCTCAAAGTGTATAGAAGCCAATTTCACCCATTAAAAATACATCTCTTGTGAGACATATCGAGTCCCCGTTATGTTTCTAAACAAATTAACAATTCAAGTAGTAGCCCGGAAAAGAGCGTTTAAACTAAAACTTGCTTAGTCTAGAAAAACATACTTAAAACTTATTTCATCTCGTGAGATACGGACGATCGTAATTTCGTTAATTAATATTAAAAAATATTTTTGAGTCTGTAAGATTAAAATCACTTAACGTCACAAGTGTTCGACGTCACAAGTCTTAATACATGCAGTTGTAACATTTTAGCGGAGCAAAATCACATGCTAAGATGTCATATAATGTTAGTTTTAATTTCGGCGCCTGCTCATTATATGAGCAAATCAAATCTCTAATAATTTTTATAAAAATTGTAAAAAATCTATGGAGAATAAATTTATCTTAAATACATATCGTGTGTGTATTGTCATTTTATTTCCCTTTTCTTACTCAATATTTGATCCCTGCATTCGTTATTCGATTCATTTATCTCTATTATTTACTTACTTTGTATTCGTTTTTACGTCATTAATCTTTCGCGCGAAATGGAAAGAGCTTGGGGGAATACAATAAAATCTGCAGAGTCTAATAAAGAGATGATTTTCCTTGAAATAAATGTACAAAAAACTACAAAGCATAGATTTTCGCGCGGAAGAATCGGAAACAAATCCCTTTTGTAAAGAATAAAAATTTGTTAATTCTTTTCATTCTGCCCTTCAAACGGCGGTATTTATTCATCTTATTTTTACTATATTTTATCCTTATTATCATATTATTCTTTTATTCTTATAATATTCTTAAAACCCTATATTCATAGAATTGTTCGCAAAAAATTGTGTAGGTGCAGATGTACGCGATGTGTAGTGTTTGCATTCACAGTATGTGTGAGGATTGATTGTGTATCTCGGAACGCGATAAAAATTACAAAAGAGCAGAGTCACTAAAATATTTATAATTCATTCAACACCTATTGAATTTTCTCACTTTTGTAATTTTCATCGCGTTTCAAAATATACAATCGATCCTCACGGTATGTGTTATGGAATTGTTTGAAATGGATTCTGATCATAATTATTTTGTTTTTCCAGAAAATACAATAGAAATCTAAAAAATAATTGAACAATTTCGATCTAAATAATCCCATAATACGTGTCGAGGTTCATGGATTCACTGGGGTTCATTAAACCTTACGACTATGCCAACATCGTACATACGGAAATAATCGCGAGAAATTGCATTGTCGCGATATCTGGCGGTATAATCGTTAAACACCATCATGGAGCATCGATAATAAAAATTATTCTAAATCTCTTGTATTACCTTGTATGCACAGAAAAAAAATTAAGAATAATTTAAATTGTTTCTAAGAAAATCTGAAAAAAATATAAATGTAAAAAAAATATATTATAATAGTGTTTATGCAAATAATTAAAAGCAATTTTTTATATCTTTTGTATTAAACGCAAATGAAATATAGAAGAAATTATAATTAAATTATTTAATCAGAAATTTTTGTATAATCATTAATTCTCAACAGATATTTTTATTTTATTGAAATACAATAAATCTTATATGACATTTTAAAATTTTTTGTCTGATTGCTTGGATTAATTAAAATTTTACCGAACATCGAGTAAAACGCCTCTTAAATTGAGTTCGCGAAATGAATAAATAATGTGTGTATCTAGCATGGAACAAAATCAAAGAATGTATTATCCGTCACAGTGAATGTATTATCCGTCGGAAATATCCGTGGCTACATAGTTCAACGTGCACGTTTGATGCATATAGAGGAGCTAGTAAACGGGTTCCATCTATAACGCATCCACTCTCATACTTTCCGCTAAAGAACATCCGTAATGCGTTACGCTATGCACGTTAAGTACTGAGTCATAAACTGAAATCTATACGTATAATAATAGTAAGTTTATATCACGCACAAAGAAAATTATAATATAATATTTAATATTATGTTACTTTTTGTGCATGATGTTTCACTATTATTTACAAGCTTTAATGTACTTAACATAATGCATTACAAATGTTCTTTTATGCGAAGATTTTCTTACACTTTTATTTAGTATACTGACATATATCCATGCCTGTTTCCTAGCTGATTCCTATTTTTTTCCTATTTTTTTTCGTTTCCAAAATTTCTGCAAAATTCCTAAAAATGTTCGTCGAGCAAATTCGTAATCCAAGGAGAGTAAGAAAGTCAAAATATGATATTGACTAAATCATGATAAAAAAATGACATAAATTCGATCAAAAATCAATATAATAGATTTAATTTCTTGTTATCATAATATCATCAACGATATCGCGATATCTCCTCGATATTTGAATTGATTTTTTATTTTAATTATCTATAAAACTAATAGACGTGCGAAATAATACCAGCGAACAAAGTGCTTTAGCCATAAAGACAAATATAAAAATAATCTAAACTGCAATGTATACGCTCTCATATACATTTTTTTTTTCTAAAATCTTTTAAAATAGAAATCTCCGAAAAAGAAGAAACGGTCCATAAATAATTAACAAAAAGTATATCGAGCGTCTCTTTAAAATCGATCCAGAGCATTCTCATTGCGCCTGCGGATTTGAGCGACTTCCCGGAATGCAATTCCAACCGCGAACGAGTAATATATTTCTCGTTCTCTCTCCTTCAAAAATAAGTGCGTCGTAATAGAATGAGTCAAGGTAATCTTATCGCTGCGGTTCCTTGAATTCACTTGGAATTAATTACATTTCCCAGGTCATTGTTTCACGTTAATTTTTAAAAAAGTTGATCGTTTTTCCAGTCGAAAGATCGGAGAGCGGGCGACGAACTGAAAACAAGGAGGATATCTCAATCGCAATGTAAAAGTCTTCAATGAGAGTCCGAAACATCGCCGTCTACGAACATCTCAAGGCCGTGTATGCTCGCACGATTATAGATCACGAGGGGGATCTATACGCAACAGACAGACGATCATGGTCGATCCATAAGACACAAGGCATACACTCTCCCACGTTCCTCGGCTCTCACAATCAGTCTTGTCGACAGTTCGCGTACAGTTACAACATGGGCGCGGGTCATTGCAAAACCTTCCGGAGAAGCGCCGGCTCAAGTCGAGACACTCGAGACACATCCGCAACAGGTGTGTACCAAGCGCGAGGAAAACTTAGTCTGAGGAAAAACTTCGAGGATCACGTTGTAAAATCTGAGACAAATACCCGTATTCATAGCCAGGCCTTATATTTAAGATACTTACGAATTATTTCATTGGCTACTGAGCATCTAAAGATAAATTTAAGGAAGCTTTAAATACAAGATCTGAACTATGAATACATGGGCAAAAGTTACTTCTATTCCTTACACAAGGCTAGATTAACATATCGTGTTAAAAGTTTTTCTTCATTTTTCTTTTTTGCTCCTTTTTTGCTTCTTCTTTCTTCTTTTTTTCTATTTTTATTTATTTTTTTCTTTTTCTTTTTTGTCCTTCTCTTTCCTTTTTCTTTTTGCCTTTTTTCTTCTTTTCTTTTCTTATTTCCTTTCCCGCACGGTAATCAATAGAATTCAGGTGCTTTCCAATAAGAGACATAGGTGGTGGATTGTGTAACACAGTGAATCATAAAACCTTATTGGTATCTGAAGGATATATTTTTATTTCTCAATAAAAAAAATGTACTAATATCAGACAAAGATGAAATGATCACTATGTTATACTGTGGGTTTTTTTTACTAAAAAACACTATCTATTTCTCAATTTTAAAATGAATTTCCTAGTTCTTACAAGAGACGGATCACACTAAAACGTTTGATTAATGACAGCTAGCCGGTTACACGCAACTAGATGGTGATTAGCACTTTATAAGAAACGGCGTTATACTATGTAGCACGAGGACGGGCGTTCGAAATGTTCGAATCATAGTAAGTTTTCAGCCTTGCCTTGTGAGGATCGATGCGGTGTGTCAGGAGTGTTAGGACACTCGCGCTCGGACGAAAGTGGACCGCCTTGACAGATATGTCATTTTTACGTTTTTTCCAGGGTAGGTGTGTATGACACTTAATAAGGCATACGAAGGCAAATATTGAGTGCAAAGACTTTTATTGATTTACTTTTACTGATCGCCGAATATTCGAAGAATAATGTTAGTATTCATGATTGGCGTAAAAATATATACTTTTTCTCGTTAGAGGTTATAGTAAATGTCATATGGAGATAATAAAGTGTAGATTATGTACGTACATCGTGTTTCTTTAAATAAAGGTGATGTAATTGAATCACGCTTACTTTCTGATATGTTTTGTAGCATTTAAAGTTAAAAATAAATACGAAATGATCGGTAGGAAAAAATTTATAAGAGCAAAATACGTTTGTGTTACATTTTATCATAAATAACGATCAATATGTAATATACAATATTGCAGCAGTGCTATTTAAAGCACTAATATTCACATAGTCAATTCTTAAATTTAAAACTGTCTCAAGTATAGTCTTAAAATGTTATAAATCAGTCAGAGAGCTGCATTAGCATTTTGTAAAAAAGTGAGAGTTGAAAACATCCTCAGCAAAGAAAAAACGAGAATAATTTAAGAATGGATTAAAATGAATTAAAATTTTTTTCTATCCGAATGTGTATTTTAAATAGCGAACACTTTTTTGGGATTTAATTGAATTCAATTGAATTCAATTAGATTCAATTGGATGTAATTGGATTGAAAAACTGCATTTCCTATTCAAAATTTTGAATTGAATAGTATTCATAATGTTTGTTGTGTGCACAGAAAAAGCTAATATTATTTTTAGATTGAAAGACAGAGATATGCACTTTTCATAAATGAATAAAAATTCAGGATTGAAAAGCATTCATTTTAACATTCGTGAATCAATATTTTTAAAAATCTGAATCCATTTCTCTTTGCTGGGTAATTGATTATGTATTTAACATTTGATAAACAATAAGAATGAAATGAGTATTGCGAACGTTTACGACTAATCTTTTTTCTACCTTCATTAAAAAAAAAGAAGATAATATGCGTGAACGTTGATACATGTGTATTTCAAATTAATACTCGCAATTTACAAATCTTGGTTGTGTTTCAAATTTATTGTCAACGCTGAAAATCTGTAGTTTACATTACGTGCATTACAGATTTTCAATTTTGGAATATAAGAGCCCTTGAACAGAGTACAAGATCAACAAGTACTGATATTTTCATGTTAATAATTATTGCGAATTTAATCAATTTCGACTTCATTCATATTAATTAGATAGATTAGGATATTCTTCTATTTTCATTAATATTCTCTACATTAATATTCATTGCGTTTTTAATTTTATTCATGCATTCTTCGAAACGTCAGGCGATGCATGATGATGCACTATGCACAATCAGCAATCATCCATGTCACGTGCACGAGCACTTACACGACAAAATCAACAGGGAATTCAATCGTCCCCTGATGAGATAGTCTCTCTCTCTCTCTCATTGTCTCTCTGTAACTCTCTCTCTTTCTGGGAATGTTATCGCCAATAATCGTCATTCATTAAATCACTGATAATCTATCGGAGAGTACGACTCCCGATTCACGTACGAGATAACAACAGAGATTTCATTTTCCTCCAAGATTTCCTTATATTCATATGCTACGTTACATAATTGACGCAAGTTATATATTTATTGTATTTCTTACGAGAATTTTTGCGCCGCAATGGAAATATTTGACGATGCAATTGATCGGAGATACCACGTGCCATTCAAATCTCAAGGACTATTCAGTGTCCCGAATGACATCATTTTATTTTTGTTCGTCGAATGTTAAACAAGGATAAAATGATACTTAAGAAATACTCAGGTGGAAACATTGGGAACCTGAATGTGTCCAAGCTCGTAAATTAGTTTGTCATTTGTCATAAGTATTCTATTGTTTACTGTTATAGAGGAGAAATTGAATCGTCGAATGAAATTCTATTGTGTGCATTAGGTTAATTATACAGTTATTAACAAATACATGTTCGCTTTTATGTTTGTCTCTACATGCTAATATAGGATTAGAATTGACTATATTATGATTCATAGTTACAGTGGTTTACTCTTGTAATTCCCTCAAAATTTGTTTTGGCATATCGAATAAAATTAAAGAGAAAAAATATTAATTATAAAATATATTATAATGAATACAATACAGTTCAGAATATGCCAATTAAGAATAAGCAGATTGCGGTGTATATTTTTATCCTGTTCTTATCGTGAGTCACCTGTTGTTGTGTCTCTCTAATAATACGCATTTATAATAACTACAGATAATTATTATAAATAGTTAAATTATAAATTATTTTTTATTTATTTTTTAGATACCGCAAAAGAGCATGACTACATTGAGGAAGTGGTGTGTAAACAGGAAGATATCAACGAAAATGAGATGAAAATGCTACCGTTGGGAAATAATGAAAAGAAAATTCTGTTGATTAAACAGAATGGAGAATTGCACGCGATTGGTACCAAATGCACGCATTATGGTGCCCTGCTACATACCGGCGCGTTAGCGGAAGGACGAGTGAGATGTCCATGGCATGGTGCATGTTTCAATATTAAAACTGGGGACATTGAAGATTATCCAGGCTTGGATTCTTTACCATGCTATAAGGTATTCGAATAATTTATAAATATATCAAGATTTTGTTCTTATTTTTATCTCTTATTTGGGATACTATCTTTATGTATTGCTTTAATAGGTTCGCGTAGACAAAACTGGTCTTGTCCACGTAAGAGCCAAACTTACAGAGCTGAATATTTACAAACGTATGAAGGATATGTCTGCACGTGATCCTGAAAATACAAAGACTGTCATAATAGTTGGCGGGGGACCAGCGGGTGCTACCTGTGCAGAGAGTTTGCGACAGGAGGGTTTTACAGGACGCATCATTATGATATGCAGAGAAAACGTAATACCTTATGATCGGGTAAAGGTATCCAAAGTGTTACATTTCAATGTTCATTCTGCAACATTACGGTCGCCCTCGTTTTACAACGAGCACAATATTGAAACGAAACTGGGAGTAAAAGCAATAGGTACAAAAAAGACTAACATCGATCTCAATATATATGTATATATATAAATCATGTTACTGTAATTCTGTACATTTTTTTATTCTGTTGTAGGTTTAGATACGACTGAAAATATTGTCAAGCTGAGTAATAACGAAAATTTCGTGTATGATTATCTATTTGTTTGCACAGGCAGTAAAGCGAGAATGTTAAATGTGCCTGGAGCAAATTTATCGAATATTTTTGTTCTGCGAGATTACACAGATTCACAAGGCGTATATGCGCTTATATCCCCCGAGAAACATGTAGTTCTTCTAGGATTTGGCTTTGTTGGCATGGAAGCCGCGGCTTATCTTGTCGATAAATGCGCGTCTGTCACAGTAATAGGACGTGAGACTGTACCCCTCAAAGCGATATTCGGCACAGTCATTGGTAATAGAATTTTAAAAGAGCATGAGGCAAAAGGTATTATATGTTATACATAACATACATTGCGTATTGGTTGCATTAGTGTTGATTAGATAATAATAATAAATGTTTTCAGGTGTGAAGTTTATCTTCCGAAATAGTATTAAGCAATTTATTCCTAAGGAATGTGAAGAAAACGTTTTGGCTAAAGTCGAACTTACAGACGGCCAGATTCTACCAGCTGATATAGCTATTATTGGAATAGGATCTACTTTTTACACTGATTGGATGAAAACATCTTCTGTCACAATGAGGGACGATGGCACTATTCCAGTAAATAAGGTAACATTCGAAAATACAGTACTTTTCTTAGAATATACTTCATATTGGATAATTGAATATCAATCAAATCATAGTATTTAAGGACAAATGTGGAAAATATATATGCTGGAGGTGACATAGCTTACGCACCGATATATGGATCTGACGACACGTTCGCTGCAATAGGTCATTATTCTCTAGCTCATTATCATGGAAAAATTGCTGCTCTAAATATATGCAGTAAAGAAACTTCTTTAAAGAGTGTACCATTCTTCTGGACAAATTTATTGGGTAGACATTACAGATATGCAGGTAAATTTACATATATATATATATACATATTTTTACACACATTTTACAATTGTAATAATCGAATTTTGTAAAACATTAACAATTAAATCTTTATCCATTTATTTTTTAGGCTATGGAACACCCACTAGTATAAAGATTTGTGGCTCTCTGGATAAACTAGATTTCTTCGCTTACTATCTTAAATGTGGCAAAGTAATAGGAATTAGCAGTGCTAATGCCGATCCAGTTGTGGCAGATTTTGCAAATTTACTTTATGAAGGAAAGATCTTAACAGAAGAAGAAATTAATACAGATCCGTTTGGTTGGATGAAAAATAAACCAAAAGATATAACTCGGTTTCAAGAAAGCTTTTTAGTCGATGCTTAAGTTTGAATTGTTTAACATGAACAATATAATTTAATGCTTTAAAATGTTACAGTATTAGTTTCAATTTTTATTTTATAATTGCAATGTATGGCATTTCTTATTAGATAAACTTAAGTAACACATTTCACTACTCTATCTTTCCCCTATTCTATACTTTTACTCTTCCTCTAACATACTCTCTAATATACTCGGCATTGTGCTGATTCAAAATGTTACCAAAAACAAAAACAAAAAAAAAGAAAATTAAATGTTCTTGGATTCAGAGTAGATTTAACTTAAATCTAAAACAATTCATGAAAAATAATTACATATTATTATATCTGTAGAAAGATGTCAATCCCATGCTTCTGTAACTCTCATGTGACACAAACGTTCAGCGATAGTCACTTCTTTCTGGAACTTTTGATGATTTTCTGCCCGTACCTTCTCGAGAAAGTTTTGCTTTCTGCTTTTGGGGTACATGTCCTTCATGTGACCATGACTTTGTTCAAGTGTGAGATAGGGATGCCGCAGAATCAACATGTTTTGCTCTTCTCTTTCAAAATCTTGTTTCATCTTAAGTAAATCGTGCATAGATGGTTTTTTAACTTTACGATATTTCCTGCATGAAACAAAGATTTACAGAATTATGAGTATTCCACGTGACGATACAAAGTAATATTGTACGTTATGAAAAATTAAATGAGTCCTAACTCGTTAAACTAAATGAGAATTAATTTTCATGAAAAGTACTTACCCTCTGAATCTGTATGGTATTTTATTTATATGGCTGGTTAATAGAACCAATCCAAGCCGCATTGTTAATCAGATTTTATGCTGTGAAATAATTGTTAATATACACAAAACTCAATTCTTATATTATTCGTAGATATATGATTCTCTTAGCTTTCAGAATGTATTTTTTGGTTAGAGCTCTGTTGCTCTCTGCCATGGTCCATGGTGAAAGCAAGATAGGTGTGCTCATGGTGGAAATATACAAAATTTCACGATGGATATGCTCATTCTTAAGACGAATCTCGTACGGTTCTGCGCAGATTCCATACGACCATTTAAACATTTGCACCGCGGTAATTTTAAAGTGACAGCTCGAGAGACTAAAATGAGTATTTAAATTCTAGAGATCTTTCACCACCTGCTGATTAATTTTATCGGCGCTTTTATTTTCTTTATAGATACTCATCAACACAAAAAAAAACAAATTATTATAAATTATAGTGGCTCGTTTTTGCAAGTAAGTATTTATACATTTGTTATTCTACGTTTATATTTATATTTATATTTTTAATTTTTTAATTTTATTTCGTTAATTATTTTGCATCAAAATACAAATCAATTTAATATTAATCTTTGATAGTAGAGGAAAGTCGATACCGACATATCATTTTGTTTTTAAATAATTTCTTAAACAAAAGATAAAAATTTTGAAAACACAAGTACAAACTAAAAAATATTTTCTATCAGATAATATAAATTTTATAATAGGGGAGAGTGAGATAAATCGGATCTATTTGTAGTTTTTGCTCTCTTTAAGGCCAATATTACATGCATTCATTTTTTTTCGTATGATAAATTTTTCAAGTGTGTTAATTGGCTACAATATAGAGAGGATCTCGGATCTCTTTGCCAATCAATCTTGAAAAATTTGTCGTACAATAAAAAACGGACGCATGTAATATTGGTTTAAAGCTGCATTTTCATGCTCGATGCTCGATTTGAGTATTAAAACAGATCACGTGATCAAAATTGACGAATACCAAACATCAATTTTGATCACGTGACTTATTTTGACGTCGAAAATGAATGTCGAGCGTCAATATGAAAAGGCACCTTCATTTTATCAATTCCCGTACAGCCTAAAACAGCATTTGTTATCAATTGAAAATTTAAATTAAAAATTTTTTTAAATATATTTTTTAAATATATCGCTATTAAAATATGTAAATATACAAAGAAAATTTAAGTTTTGGATAATTTTGCAAAATTATATTCATTCAGACTAATGTATTTAAATTTGGAAACATAATTTTCAAAATTTATAGTAACAATTTATTTTAAATAAGATTTAATAAATTATTTACTTAATCTTAATTTAAAATAAGTTATTTCAGTTTAATTTATCGGTTCCAATTAATACTCAGAGTGATGCAAAATTAATTTAGCTTGTTACTTTTTCGAAATATTCTTTTTCTCTCTTTCTCGATTATTGTGGGAATAGAAAAATGAAACGAACGAAATCTCATTACAACTGTTATTACAGCTAAAGTGGACGAGGTACAGACATTGCCCTGTTTTGCAGTAGTAAGAATCAATTTCCCTACAATACAAATAATATAATATTTCGAGAACACAGTCGATATTTTACAGTAAGAGCCTCCTAATTCCCCCTTTTTGTGAAAAACCAACTTGCTTCGTATTAAGTTATCGCGTATTCAATTCAGCTTTAACAGAACTTAAATGTGGCACTCAGCTCGCCGCCTAGCAACGGTTAATATAAATGGTATCTAAACTCTTAGTGTGGCAACCTGTTAGATCCTCAGTAGCGAATGCATTGCCTCAATACTTAGCAAGATCTGAATTTACTTTTTTTTTTACTAAAGATGTGAGACTAGAGTTACATTAAAGAAAAGAATTATGTTGAGTATTATTTTGATTATTAATTGGCAGAGAATTGTGGCCTCTTTGCGCTGGTGGTTGATAAATTGGTTGCGTACTCCGTTGCTGATTCCGTTTCTTATTATATCCTTTATTTCCTCCAACGGCACCGCTTCCACCTCGTCGAAATTCCATACCTGCTGCAATCATCATTTTTAATTAAATTTCGACTTCAATGTTTCACTTGTAAAAGATACAAGTAATACAAAATTTAGTATCTAGAGATGAACGATTTTGTTACTCACCATTTATGTGATTGTGACTTTGATCGTAACGTGGCTGTCGATTGTTAGAACGCTGATCTTGTCGTCTCGGTTCCGGAATACGATCTTGAATCTAAAATTATCATAATCATTGTAACAAGAAATATTATTAGCAATCATTGTAAATTTTACGTTGTATTGTTTTACGTACATCATCTGTTATTGGTATACAATCCACCTGGAGTACTTCTTCATAATTTTCAAATCCTTTAAATTGCACTACGCAAGTTCTCTCAGAAACACCAGTGACTTCGGCATTATAATACTATAAATATCATACAATTAAATTATGCGCAAAGTACATAAAAAAGAAAATAATGTATAGTTCTATGTGAATAATCGACTTATAGTTAACAGATTCTCGATTCGATTCCGTTATTCTATGTAAACTTTAATTTTTATATGAAATTGATTGAAAAAGTATAAAAGATAAATGACCTAAGTATTTTGGAAACACATTTTAATATAAAAAAATTTTCATATAAAAAAATCTATAATACGTACCCTATTATCTTCCCAATATTTAGCCATACACTTGTCACCTACTTGCCATACCCATGTACTGGTGATGTTAGAGTTACCATAATTGTTTTCGTTTCTTTGCACATTAGGATTCATAGACATCTTATTCCCAGCGTTTGACTGATATCTAGGTTGACTTTTAAAATTCTGTTCAGTTGTATTAGTTGAATATATTTTAGAGGTTCCATTTTGTTGAGCTCGATTATGCCTATTATAAGAAGCATCATAAGAATGCCTATTTTTGACCTCGGGCTCGAGGTGATTATAGTTTCTGTTACTACCGAGATTCTTTCCCTGTAACTCAGCCTGGATTCTGTTATAGTTATCGTTACCGCTATCGACATTTGCATTACTTGTGCGCGAATAAGCAAACGTATTTTTGTAATCATTCGGCTGAGTAGACTTCTGATACGCTTCTCTACCTCCGTCGTGTTGATACTGATACTGAGGTTCCTGGTTACGTTGAAACCGCGGTGGTTTGTTCTGCGGTGCGTGATTAGCACCGTTATATTGCGAATACATGGTGGAGTTACTATTATTTGTCTTCTTACTATTTCTATGTTCCTCTGAATATCTCGGAGGTGGTTGATAACCGCGACCACCTTTTTGATTTCTATTTAAAAAGATCAATATTAGAAATACAATATTTCATTAAATATTATAGGAATTCGTTTAGTAAGATAGTTATGTACCGTCCACCTCTTCCACTTTGTGCTTCAGTACCTCTCGATTCGAAACGATCCTGATTACTTTCATTATTTTGCATGTAATTACTTTGCGACAAATTAGTTGTTTCGACACTTTCAGGTTGCACAGGTAATTTATCCTCGAGAAAGTCGAATAGAGATATTTTTCCACTGCTAGGTTTACTCTCTTCGGCTTTCTTCTCGCGTTTGCCACGTGGCTCTCGTGGTTCTCGAGATTCTTTGGCACTACTATAATAAGATTGTAATTAGATAATAATTGAATATAATATAGTTTGAGTGAAGAAAAATAGTAAAAATAAAAATAAATTTTCTCACTTATGTTTAGTGTCGGTCCTTTGCAGACTTCTTAAAGCTTTATCTATGTTATTTCTATTAACTCTCAAAGCGTATTCTGCCTGCTCTATAGTAAATCCACGATCCACGATTTTCTGTACGCTATGATCCAATAACTGAAAGCGCATATAAATTAGATATTTAGATAAGAATGCAAACATGTAATTTAATAGAAAAATGTAAAAAAACAAATCAAACCTGTTTATTTCCGCCACCAAATACTTTCTTACTGCCTTGCTTGGCAGCTTCCGCTATCGCATCTTTGCGCTGAGTTTCAAATTCAGTATTCTCTTTGCTAGGTTTTTCTTTTTCTGCCAGAGCTTTAAAGTTCTTATCTTGCTCCGATAATTTTACGATTTTTTTACCAAATGGTATCCACGGTGGTGGTCCACCCTCTTCGGCAGACCTTACTCGAGTGTGTGAAGCTAATTTCTATAACAAAAACAATCCTGTACTCATGCGATATTCATTAAATAGAATTAACATTATAATAAATATTAATGTATCTTATTAAAATGTAAATTACCTTATTTAATTCCCATTTTTCCACTAAATTGGCAACTTTTCCTCCAAGTACATAAACTAAATGCGATGGTCTCAATAAAAGAAGTCCATGTGACACAGGTAAGGTTCCTGTCTTTATCAGTATCTTTGTACCAGGTGGTGTGTTTAAGCTATCCCAAAAGAGATGATTAGAAGAAACAGTTGTAAGAAAAAATGACATTAGAGAGTAATACTTAATATTCAACTATTAGCACTATACTGAATTAGTATATGTTAAAGATGGCTTTATATAAAGTATCTAAATGCAATGGCATATAATCAACTTTAATAATGAAATAATACTTGTATTCTGTAAAATAATGTGGCAATATTATTAAATAGTTAATTGTTCAAAATACATATACTTATATACTTTTATGTTTAACTTTGTTAATTTCATACATAGCAGCTTTTAGTATAAACTAATCTAGCATAATATAAGTAATCAAATTTGCTATAAAAGAACTCAATCTAATACATTTACCTCAAAGTCGATATATGTTCAACTTCTAAGGCTTGAAAATTATTTTTTCCATCTGTCAACGATAATTTTAACATTCTTGGAGCTGTTCTTGATTCTTCATTTCCTTTGGGCGCAGCTACGTTACGTATCTTTTGTATTTGCAACACAATATTGCCCTGATTAATATCTCCATTTCCACTCCCAATCTCTCTCAAGTCAAGCTATAAATAATTCATTTTTTTCTGATTCATTCATATGTCCTAAATAATCAAGATAGAGGTTCAAAGAATCGATACATACATCTAATAGTCGTTTTATTATCTTCTGTGTGTCTATCACACTACCCGAATCCGTTGCCAAATTATAACCATGATCAGATAAATACCTGATAAAAAGAAAAGCCATCAACATAGGTGAAAGAATTATGAATATTGGATAGACTTTGAATAGGAATGG